TTGACTAGGAATCAAACCTGAGACCCTTTGGTGCACTGGCCGATGCGTTAACTACTGACTTAACACCATTTGGGGCGCTAATTGTTTTTGTTGTGGTAAAATACACATAACATAAATTTTCCCCTCTTAACTATTTTTAAGCTACAGTTCAGTGTTATTAAATACATTCATAATGTTGTGCAATAATCACCCCCATCCTGCTCTATAACTCTCTATGACATCCCATAACTCCAGCTCCTTCATCTGTAAGACTGAAGCTCTGTACTCATTAAACAATAACGCCCTGTCCCCCACCCCCCACCTTCTGACAACTACCATTCTATGTTGTCTCTATGAATTTGACTAAGTACTTCATATAAGTGAATCATATAGTGTTTGTCTTTTTGTGACTGGCTTATTTCAGTTAGCACAATATCCTTGTTTCATCCATGCTGTAGCATCGTTCAGAATTTCCTTTCCTTTTCAAGGCTGTGTACTATTCCATTGAGTGTATATACCATTTGAACTAAACATACTCTTACCACATAATCCAACAATTGCACAATCTGGTACTTAGTCAAATGAGTTGGAAAATGTATGTTCACACAAAAACCTGCGCACAGATATTTATAGCAGCTTTATTCCTAATGGCCCAAACTTGGAAGCAACCAAGGTATTCTTTAGTGGATGAATGGGTAAGGAAAAGGAAAGAAATGGGGGAAGCTCCGGCCATAGTGCACAACAAAGGATGACCACATCCTAGAAAACAGAAGTGATACTTTAGAAACACACACACACACACACACACACACACACATGCGCTTCCTGCAGAGGAGGCAAAGGCATCCTCGCTGCCCCTGAGGGCGCACACGTGCGGTGCTCGGCTGTGCGCTCTGAGCAGACGCGGGAGGCTCCCAGGGGTCAGACACCTGCACCTGCATCTGGTGCAGCGCGGCTGCTGCCCTGCCCAGGGCCCGTGGCCAGTCAGCAGCCTTCGGGGTTTCTGGTTCCAGGTCTAAACAAGATGCTTGGACAGGATGTTCTCTAAAACCGGTTCGTTTTCTAATTCGGCCCTGAAAACTGCAAACGCACACTGCGGTATGAGACGTGGACCACGAGGGGGCGCTGCCTCCCAGGAGAAAGTGGGACTTGTTCCCAGCCACTCCCGTAGTGTCCTCACTCCGTAGTGGCTGTGATAGAACACTGCAGTCAGTCTCACATCCCGGACTGTGTCCTCAGAAAGTCATTCCCTTGAAGGGGGCGCGGGGAGGGCAGGACGGTGCTGCTTCCCTCCCGCTCTGGCTCACACAGTGCCACGCCCTCGTCCAGGGGGAGTTGGGATTTGAACCCAGATCCCCTGACGGCTCTGAATCCACGGTGTGGTTCTGCCTCTGCAGCAGCACAGGGCCTGGAAGATGGGGGATGGCACCGACGAACCTACAGACGTGAGCATGCGGTCCTGACTCTCTCTCCTCTAGAGTAGAGGCCTGCTGCCCCCTGCAAGGGGTCTCCCAGGTCTTCGGTTCAATTCAACCACAGCGCGCCAATGAACTACCCGAGCTCTCTGTCTCTTGGAAGGGGCAGTGAGGCACAGGTGGACTTCCTGAGGCCTCCGGTGTGCGGCCGCTACGGACTTGATGAGGGGTCAGGCACCTTCAGTTGCCCCAGCTTGACCGCTTAAGGCTCTGGGGAAATTACCGGGTGTCTCTGAGGCCTGGCTTTCTGGTCTGGAACAATTAGTAGAAACCATGTAATAGCTGCTCAGTAACTATTCCTTTCCCAGGGATAATGGTCATGGTGTAACTTATGCCAGTAAAAAGTTGTACACAACTTGATGTCTAGCAATAGGGAAATGATGCCATAGAAGAATGGTTCTCAACCTTTCTAATGCTGCGACCCTTTAATACAGTTCCTCATGGTGTGGTGACCCCCAATTTCATTGTTACAAATTGATCATAATTAAAGCATAGTGATTAATCACAAAAACAATATGTAATTATATATGTGTTTTCCGATGGTCTTAGGCGACCCTGTGAAAGGGTCGTTTGACCCCGAAAGGGGTCACGACCCACAGGTTGAGAACCACTGCCATAGAACATGGTAGTTTTAGACCCTGGAACAGTCTAACACTATCAAAAGCAGATTGAAAACTGCATACTAGATAAAATAGTTAAAAGTTTAAAAAGCTGGGCACGCCCTAACCGGTTTGGCTCAGTGGATAGAGAGTCGGCCTGCGGATTGAAAGGTCCCAGGTTTGATTCTGGTCAAGGGCATGTACCTTGGTTGTGGGCACATCCCCAGTAGGGGGTGTGCAGGAGGCAGCTGATCAATGTGTCTCTCTCATCGATGTTTCTAACTTTCTGTCCCTCTCCCGTCCTCTCTGTAAAAAATCAATAAAATATATTAAAAAAAATAAAATAAAAACCTGGGCACAAGAACTGTATCTACTTTAGTTTTTTAAAAAAATATCCTGAAGGAAATACTCCAAATGTTAGGTGTTCATTTGTGGGTGGAAGGACGCCGGGGTGACAGGCTTCTCCACTTTTCCTCCACATCCTCTGAATGTTCCACAAGGAGTTTGCTGTGTTCAGAATGAGACAAAACATTTCTTACAAAGTTAGTTCCCTTTCATTTTATGCCTTTTTGATGAACACTTTAGCAGGAGAGATAGGACTAGAAGTGGAGGGATCAGAGAAAAGGGCGAGGGGAGAGGAAAGAGCTCGGTCCCACTGGCATTTATTGAACCTTTGCTACGTGCAGACTCTGTGGAAGGCACTGACTGACAGCTGAGAAAGGTCTCATAGAACTAGGCGTTGCTGGGCAGACAAGGCAAGAGCATGGCATGTGAAAAGGCCCTGGCGTATGAGACAGCAGGCTTAGAGAACAGCCAGTAGGGCCTATAGGGGAGAGGAGAGAATGTGGCTGAGAGATGAGCAGGCTGGAGAGGAATATCAGAGGTATTAAAGGGTTCCGATTACATTCTGTGGGTCCTGGAGCTACTGTGGTTTCTTTTCTTTCTTTTTTCAGTTGAGATTTTATTGAGATAATTGTAGATGCACATGAAGAAACAATACAGAGAAAGCCTCATATACTTTGCCCATTCCCCTCCCCCCTGTGGTGACATTATAAGATTGACATGGGTGCAATCCACTGATCTGCCTCACATTTCCCCAGTTTTGCCTGTAATGCGCATGTGTGTGTGTGTGTGTGTGTGTGTGTGTGTGTGTGTGTGTGTGTATTACATTCTACATAACTTTCTCACCTGTGTAGGTTCTTATATCCACCACCGCTGTCAGGGTATCGAACAGTTCCAACCACAGAAACTTTTATAATCAATTACACGGGCCTCCCTCCTCCCTCCATTGCCCACTAGACCAGGGTAAGGAGGAGGGGCCTGAGAAGGCGCCATGTCCAGAGGGCCAAGGGGTTCCAGTGGATTTACAGATCTAAGCTCAGGGGAGAAGTTTGAGCTGAGGCTGTGGTGGAAGTCACCACCTGTCACCTCTGGTGCCCTAGGTGTGCTAGGGAGGGAGCGGAGTGAGAGGTGGGCCGAGGAAGGAGCCCGGGAGGATACAGACAGCGTCTGTGGTCAGTCCACTTTGGGTTCCCTCTGCACAGAGGCTCACAGCCTGGCGCCTCACTTTAAAGCTATCGGCTTCCCCAAACAACCTCCACCTCCAGTGGCCTGACTGTGGGCAGGTCTGGAGCCAGAGGGGCTACTGTTCCTCCCCCAAGCCACGCCCTGTGGGGAAGGAGGGAGGTCTCAGACTCCAGTTCCTCTCCCTTGCCCTTGTATTCCCCAGCCTCCTTGGGCCCAGTGGAAGCGGTGGCCAGTGTCCTGAGCTCCGTCTGAAGATGGCCCCCAGCACCGGTGGCAGGGCTGAACCAGTGGCCACCAGCCATGCCCAGGAGCTGGAGCCAGAAAGCCAGCAACCTCTGTGGCAGGGACCGCTTCCCGCCTCCCGCCTCCCAGCTGAGAGGGGCCACTGCCGGCCTTGCCTGTCAGGGCAGTGCCTGTGCTGGAGGAGGGGCGGGAGCCGGGCCAGGTTCCTGGCCTCCCACCGCTCTGGTTCCACTGCACCCAGGCTCGCTGTGCCGTTCCTTATTCTGGTGGACGCTCCCCTCCCTGACTGAAGTCTCTTCTTGCCCCACGGGGGCTGCATGAGATCTAAATAAAAAACGACCATAAAGCTATCTGCTTCACGCCTGGTGAAGCCTGGCCCTTGTTTAAGAAGCCCTGGGATTCTGCACAGAGGACTCCCCACCTCGCCACCCTCACCATGACCACCTCTCTCCTAGTGTGAGCCGCAAAGCCGGGCCTGGAATGTGCTCTGCACAATATACACCCCCTTAGCTGGGTCCTATTCAGTCCCTGAGTGCAGGGTTGTTAATCCTGGCCCTGCCTTGCAGCGGGGAGAAGGGAGGAGGAGGGAGGGGGTGGGATGTTAGAGGTCATTGAGTCCGAAGCCTTGAATGCACAAAGGAGAGCACGGATCCTCAGGGCAGAGAGGTTTGTGGAAGGCAGAGAGGTTTGTGGAAGGCAGAGAGGTGATCTGCTGGGAGAAAGGGGCGGCTGGTTTCACGTTGGAATCTGCTTTCCCGTCGAGGAGAAACCCAGGAGAGACGGATGACAGTTTCTGAACTCCTTCCTTTATCCGTTTTTATTGAGCGTCTACTACGCGCCAGGCAGTGCAGCTCTCTGGACCGGGAGCTGGATTAGCCTCGGACCCTAATGCAGGAAGAGAAGGGCGTCAAGGGGTTAAATTCCAGGCGCGTGGAGGGGGTGGGGAGTAGAGGAATCTTCCGGAGGAAAACCCCCTCCCCGCTTCCCAGCTTCGGAAAGCCGGGTGTGAAGAGCCTGGAGGCGGCTGCGCCCGGCGCGCGGTCGCCCGCCCTGGGCTGGGGGTGACCGATCTCCAATTACAACAAAAGGAGCCGGGGCGGGCCCTGCGGTGGCCGCCCTCGGAAGGGGTGGGCCCGGGGAGGGGTTTGCTGCTCTAGCCCCTTAAAAGTCCCGGGAAAAGAGTGAAGGCGCTACTCCAGCTCGCGGCTCCCGGCACTTGGAGCTCACTCTCTCCAGCCGCCCCTCTGCTCGGGAAAGGGGCTCGGCGGCGACGCGGGTGCAGACGAGGGGCCACCGAGAGAAACGTGGCCCGGCCAAGCCAGGGCGGACCCCTCCTACCAAGTAAGCGCGCTCCTTGCAACTCCGAGGGAGCGCAGTGGCTCGAGGGAGGGGGAGCGCCCCCGCGAGTCCTCAGGCTCCACTCCCCGCGAGGCCAGTCTCTTCACTGTTAGGGGTGCCGGGAACCCGGGGGGCGGCACACACAGTGGAGACTTCTTGCTCCGAGAGATGCGGGACGTGCAGGCTGACGGGTCCCCTTCTCGACTGGGGCGGACCCACCCAGCCCCACCTCGCTGAGCCGGGCCGGGAAGCCGCTGGCGCGCCCTAGGAAGTGGGGCGCTGGGTTCCTAGCTCGCCTGGGGCGCCCGCCACCAGGCAGGACAGAGCCAGTGGAAGCTCAATGTGCGATCGGTGCCTAGGAGGGTGTCGCGTGGGGCCAGAGACCCAGGGGCTGCGTTCGTGCCCGGAGTTCTGGCTTTGAGGGACGTGGAGCGCGCAGGGGATGGGCGTCGCACTGTGTTGGGGCTTTGGAAATGTGGAGCGCACGGGGCTGAGCGGGGTGGGGGGTGGGCGGGCTACTGGGCCTGAGCCTGGGAGCTCCAGCGCCCACTGCCTGGAATTGGGTTTCTCTTCAGCCTTCGAGTTAGGCTCATCTGAGCGCCCGAGCACCCTGAGTCCTGTGGGAATGGAGGCGCGGTTCGCACCCCAGGTACTTACTACCAAGTCGCCCTGGTTCGTCCGGGGACCAAGGAGCCTCTCCCGCCGTTTGGACTGAGAGGCCCTGGAGCAGGAAAGAACCAGCACAAACGAACCCATGGGTCGTGTGTGCAGGATCGCCCCGGGGTAGAGCTATTCCTAGTCTTGCGAGATACTCCTGCGGTCCTCGGTGACTGCAACTTTTACGCAGGCTTTTTGGCCACTGCGCTCCGCCCCCAACCCCTCAAAAATCTGGGAGCCCTGCCTGCCTGAGGTGTCGCTGTAAATCAGCGCCGGAGGAGAAATGATAGGAAGAAACAAGCGTGATTGCGATTCTTTTCTCTCTCTCATCCCTCCACCCCAGTAAACATCACCGAATACCAGCGGGGTGCGGGGAGGGACACGGTGCAGCGCGCGGCGTTGTGGGGGTGGGGGACTGAACTACTCGTGCTGGAAACCTCAGAGATGTGCTCTGAAGTCAGAAACATGCCCCAAATTAATTTCTACATCTAAAATCTTGGAACTGCGGAGATCAGTTCAGTCGTTTCTTTCTGCAGAAGAGGAAAGGCCACTGGGTTAGTCCGTGTGGGACTCGAACTCATATCCCTTACACCACAGCCCGCCTGTCTGACCGGGAGCCCCAAAGCCCACCTGTCACTCTTGGTGGAATTATTTCGTTTGTTTATGGTGTGTTGTGTACTTCATTTGCCTGGTCAGTTCCCAGATGAATGACTGACTTACTGGCCAATGCCTTAGCTAAATTATTACTCTCCTTCATCCCTTTGTCCTATTCCCATTCCTGGTCCCTCATATATGTTCCTGGAATGACCATCGAACCCATGACAAAATGCACCCATGCGCCCTGTGGACCCCTCAGGATTGAGTCTCAGTGGTGTGTGTGTGTGTGTGTGTGTTTTTTTAATTTGTTTTTATTGGAGAGTGTGTGTGTGAGAGAGAGAGAGAGAGAGAGAGAGAACATCTGCTCGTCTTTCTGTGACTTTGTGTTAAAAAAGTGACTTGGTCTAAGGCCACTTAGCCATTAAGTGGCAAAGCTGAATGAAACTTCGGTCTGCAGACCAAGTATGCACTTGGCGTTTTGATTCAGGGCAGATAGAAAATTCCATGAAGTCACTTCCCTCTGTCTCCTGACATCTGGGCTCCGTGCCTGGCCCCTTCCTGCCTGGCCCCAAGTCCCTGTCCTCCGACCACTGGATGGCCAGTGTGGAGAGGCCTTGTGAACTAAACAGGTTTTCTGTGCTCTAGAGATGACCATCAGTGAAGCTTTCTAATGTTCCAGAAAATTCTGCTTTGTTTACTTAAAAGGCATTTTCCTGAAAAAATTTAAATATGCACCATAGTAGAGAAAGGCCCTCAGCGTCAACAGGTAGCAGCATGTTGCCACCCTTGCTTTATCTCTTTTCTCTTTCTTTTTTTACTGAAATATTTTAAAGCAACTCTCAGACATCCATCCAGTCATTGCACCTCTGAAAATATTAAATAATCATTATGCCATTCTTGTACCTAGGAAAATTAACAATCATTCCCTGGTATCATCTAATCCCCAGTTCATATTCAAAACGTTCCCCCACATGCCTTTTTACAGTTGATCTGAGGTCTGTTGATTTTTATAATTTATTCATATTGTATGTTGTTCCTTACTTGAGTCTCACAATGTCCCACTAAAGAGTAAAATGGGTATTTTTTTTTTAGTTTGCTTTTTAAAAATGTTTTTATTGATTTCAGAGAGGAAGGGAGAGGGAGAAAGACATAGAAACATCATTGATGTGAGAATCATTGATTAACTGCATCCTGCACACTCCCCACTGGGGATCAAGCCTGCAACCTGGGCATAAGCCCGACCGGGAATTGAAACATTACCTCCTGGTTCATAGGTTGACGCTCAACCACTGAGCCACACTGGCAGGGCAGGATGGGTATTTTTGAGTTCATTTTATAAGTGAGCAAACTGACAAACAGATAAACTGTGCAGGTGGCACAGCTGTGGGTGGCGGGCCAGGACCTGCCCGGCCTCCGCAACCCTGGGCCCTGGGGAGGGATGTCAGCTGCTCTCAGAAGCATTCATTTGGCTCTGGCGTCCGGGCTTATCACTTCTCATACACCTGCCATGAGAAATCCCTGTGGGAATGTTTAGTAATTGGCCATTTGGTGCTGGAGATAAACTGGCTGCAAAGTCAGGAAGCCTGGGTTTATTTCCCGGTTCATTGTAAAACTGTACAAAAAGCGACTTGTGTCTGAGGGCCTCAGAGGTGGCGGAGTATTTCCCCATCCTCTGGCTCCAGGGTCTGAAAATAGGTGGGATGAGTGAAATGGCTGCAGCTGGAATTCCTGGGACAGACAAAGGCAAAGGCCCCGGGAAGAAATCTCATTGCGAACAATGACCGCTCACTGATCATCAACCGGGAACTGGCAGGAGATATTGTTCATCGCCTCCTAAATTCTGAGACAGCAGAGGCTCCCGTCCACAGTTCTTCGCTTATGGACAACTTTGTTGAGTCTGCCTTTGTCTGATGAGGATGTAGAACACAGGAATTTTTACTTTTAGCATTTTCATTCACTTTGAGATAGGGTGGTAAAGAAATCATTTTTATATTTTACTAGTGGCACAGTGCACGAACTTTGTGCATGGAGGTGGGGGGTTCCTTCAGCCCAGCCTGCACCCTCTCCAATTGGGGACCCCTTGGGGGATGTCCCACTCCCTCTCGCAATCTGGGACCGCTGGCTCCTAACCGCTCACCTGCCTGCCTGCCTGATTGTCCCTAACTGCCTCTGCCTGCCTGTCTGATCACCCCTAACTGCCCTCCCCTGCTGGCCTGATCTTGCCCCCAACTGCCCTCCCCTGCAGGTCTGTCTCACCCCCAACTGCTCTCCCCTGCCAGCTTGGTTGCCCCTAACCCCTGCCGGCCTGATCTTGCCCCCAACTGCCCTCCCCTGCCGGCTTGATCACCCCTAACTGCCTCTGCCTCGGCCCCCACCACCATGGCTTTGTCCGGAAGGAAGTTGGACGTTTGGAAGGTGACCGGTCAACCAGGTCTAATTAGCATATTACCCTTTTATTAGTATAGATAGATTATATAGGATAGGATTGCTAAAATGGGGTTGGGGAGCGCCTTTTTCAACAGGAGGAGATGCTCTTTGCAGACAAAAATGCATAATCCCTATATCTGGACTGATAGCCAGCCATATGCACTATATTGCCAAACCAGTTATTAAAAAAATGAACCGCTTTCTTATACCTTACATCAAACAGCTGTTGCCCTCCTCAGCCCCAACCTTAGGTTCTGCCTTCACAGTTCACCCAGATTAGGTTCTGGTTGGCCAGTTAGCATCAAAAGCTCTGCCTCCTAGGCAGCCATTGGCTCCTTGCAGTTCACCCAGATTTGGTTCCGATCGGTCGCTTTCTATGTCAGTCAGAGTCAAAGACTCCACCTCCTAGGCAGCCATTGGCTCCTCCCAATTCACCCAGATTTGGTTCTGATTGGTTGGTTTCTATGCCAGTCAGCATCAAAAGCTCCGCCTCCTAGGCAGCCATCTTGTGAGGGCATGAGGGTTAATTTGCATATTACCTCTTCATTATATAGGTTAAACAAGGCTCATGAGTCAGAATTCTCCCTCCTTGGCTGGCTGTAGGAAGATGAATCACATTTATTGACTCTTAGATTTTTTAAAATATATTCTTATTGATTTCAGAAAGGAATGGAGAGAGAGAGAAACATCAATGATGAGAAAGAATCATTGATTGGCTGCCTCTTGCACGCCCCCTACTGGGGATTGAGCCCACAACCCAGGCGTGTACCCTTGACTGGAATTGAACCCAGGACCCCTCAGTCCGCAGGCCGACGCTCTATGCACTGAGCCAAACCACCTAGGGCTTGACTCTTAGATTTTCTGCTCTTCTGTTCATTGCCCTGAAATAGACATGGAAAGGGCAGACCTTCCATGAAATAGCCAGTCAGGGATGGACGAATGGTTGCTCCAATCCCCTTACTCAACAGCAGAACTCAAAGGGGCAAAGCATCCACCTTAGACCACACTGTCTTCTGGCAACCAGACATGCTCCTCCCCTTCGCTAACAGGCTGCCTCCGTGGGGTGGAACTCCTAAGTGGTTCCCTTCAGCAGCTTCAGCAGCTTCCTTCCTTTTATCGTTTTGGGAGCGTTGGGCGGTAGAGTGCCCTGTCCCGTGCCTGCCTGGGTTCAGAAGAACAGCTTGTAATTACTCTGGTTCATTTCCCTCGGGAGGTAGCCCTTCCCGCTCAGTCCTCATGGCAGTGTCACACAGGCCCCCCTGCGCTCTGGACCTGGGTGGGCCATGAGGGCTCAGATGGCGTGGCTGGGTTCTGCCCTGCTCCAGGCCACAGAACCAGCAGGACTGGCGAGTGTGGGCAGAAAAGGCCGAGCCACACAGATGTCCACAGAGACACGGCTGCAGCAACGCATTGCCTGTCTTCTAAGTCTCCAGCCGTGTCTGCACTGACGCGAGTCTTCAGACCTTCTCTTCCTAGTAATTCCAGTTGTGCTCCTGCTGATGAGCATGGTACGTGGGTGGCAGGGGACGCACCTGGCCGGGTGTGCTGGCCAGTCTCCTCCCCCTCGCCCCCACACCTCCTGCTTCAGAGAAGTCTTTACACACCAGGGCCACCCTTTCAGAACAGCCCCTTGTCCAAGGGTGAGAAAGCATGATGGTGACAGTTGAGATAAGATTTCTGCCAGAGTTTTTTGTTTTTTTAAAATATAGTTTTATTGATTTCAGAGAGGAAGGGAAAAGGAAAGAGACAGAAACATCAATAATGTGAGAGAATCATTGATCGGCTGCCTCTGCACACCCCCTACTGGGGATCGAGCCCACAACCTGGGCATGTGCCCTTGACCGAAATCGACCCCAGGACCCTTCAGTCCGCAGGCCAATGCTCTACCACGGAGCCAAACCGGCTAGGGCTCTGCCCAGAGTTTTTGAAAATATTTTGCATTTCCCTTGGCAGAAACAATCTACCCCCAGCAAATTGTGTGTGGCAAGTACAGGTGTGGAGTAAGAACTAACTCAGGGGATAATGAAGACGTGATTAGGACCACAGTTAATAAGTTCTTCTTGCCCAAGGCTTTTTCATCCCTTCCCTTGGAATACCTTTGATATTATAATTTGTAATTTTATATGTCAGTGGTGAGTTTTCTTTTTTGTTTTTTCATTGTCAAAATCTCTGTTAGACAAGCAGACACAGCTGGCCACGTGGATGTCCCATGGCAGCAGCTCCCATGTTCCCTTGATGTGTTGCCAAAGTAATACTAAGTGAATCTTCTGAGGAAATCACCTCGCTTGCTTACAAAGCCTGTGTTTTATGAGAAGATAACTTGTGTCGATGACTTGTGAACAGCTTAATTTGCTCTGACAGTTTCTTTATACTGTCCTTCTTGAACTTGGATCCGTGAACTTTCCCCACCCCCAGCCTTGTCCCGGGTACACGGATGTCCTAGCAGAAACAGCACAGCTTTCCAGAGTGCCTGCACGAGGCAGAGATCTAGAAAGAAAGCTGTTTCCCTATATGTCTTCTCAAAGCTTTTTAAAATATATATATATTTTTATTGATTTCAGAGAGGGAGGGAGAGGGAGAGAGAGAGAGAGAGAGAGAGAGAGAGAGAGAGAGAAACATCAATAATGTGAGAGAATCATTGATCAGCTGCCTCCTGCATGCCCACACTGGGGATTGAGCCCACAACTCAGCCATGTGCCCTTGACCAGAACCAAACCTGGGACCCTTCAGTCCTTAGGTCGACGCTCTACCCACTGAGCCAAACCAGCTAGGGCTCAAAGCTTTTATAAAACCAACACAATATACATTTGAGTAAAGTACATTTTTAAAGTAAACTCTTCTCCCTTCCTCCCAAGAATAATGGTGGCGTACCTGGGTAAACGCCACCAATCCCAAGCCTTTGTCTGGACAGACCTTTGTCATCAGGTTAGCTGTAATTGCTCTGGCAGGCCCATTACCAAGTTGTAAGAATAATCTTTTAAAATACTTTTAAGCTGTCCTGAATTCAGGAGGTCTGTCTGAGGGAGCCTTCTGCTAAGCAAGTTTAGTATATTTTAATGATCAAGCAGGAGAAACTAGAATTTATACATCAGTGAAACCCTGTTGGGTCTCTCATCCTTTTCAATGGCTCTTCATTTTCTTAAAATTAATCTTCTCCATGTGTGTTTTTTTCCCCTTCTGGAAGCTCTCAAAGCCATGCCCACCTCTCCACCCAACTCCCAACCCCCTACGACATCTGTTGCAACAACGTAATGACATCATGATATACCACAGTGCCATCCATTGCCTGGAGAGCAGCTAGTTTCCGAACTGGCCTCCTTTCCCTCCGTCATTTTTTTTTTAATTCTCACTCGAGAGTATTTTTTCTATTGATTTCTAGAGAGAGAGGAAGGGAGGGAGGAGGGGGAGAGAGAGACACAGACACATTGATTGGTTGCCTCCTGAACACACCCCTACATGGGCTGGGGTACCTGCAACCGAGGTACATGCCCTTGATCAGGAGTGAAACCTGTGTCTGTGGGCCAATGCTCTAGCCACTGAGCCAAACCAGCCAGGGCCTTTCCCTCAGTCCTAACCCATGCGAAACCAACCTTTATGTAGTAGCCACAGTGACACTTCGAGAGCCGGGGTTGGTCAACTTTTTTTCTAAGGGCCAGATAGCAAATTGTTATTGTTATGTTTTCAAAATATATTTTTATGGATTTCAGAGAGGAGGGAAGAGGGAGAGAGAGATAAAAACATCAATGATGAGAGCGAATCATTGATTGGCTGCCTCCTGCACTCCCCCTCCCCCCACTGGGAATCAAGACCTTAACCCAGGCATGTGCCCTGACTGGGAATCGAACCATGGCCTCCTGGTTCATAGGTTGACGCTCAACCACTGATTCACGCTGGTCAGGCCAGGTAGCAAGTATTTTAGATTTCACAGTCCATACAGCCTATGTCGCAACTGGTCAGCGCTGCGGTGTTAGTGAGAAAGCAGCCACGGATAACCAGGAAGGAAATGAGCGTGGCTGGGTTCCAATAAAACCTCATTTTCAAAAATGTTATTTCCAGAGTGGGCCCATGGGCTGTGGTCCATCGACTCCTGCTCTAGACCACAGTCTGCCCATCACCCTCCTGCTTACCTTTCATTGGCTCCGTCTTCATTCCCCAAAGGAAAAGGCAACATGTCCCAGCAGAACATTCACACGTCCTCACGGCCTCCGCTTGTTTCCAGCCTCATGTCTTCCACGTCCCCTCACCACACCCACTCGCCCAGCCCTTTCACTTTTCATCTTGTAATTCTGAACCACACTGGGCTCCCAGAATACCCTGTGCTATTTCAGACTGGCCTGGAATGATCTCCCCACCCCGCCCCCACCTGTCAAACTCACTTAACTTCAAAACCTGCTCAGGTATCAAATGTCTAAAGCTTTCCCTGTTCCTCATCCCCAGTTATAATCACTGCCTCCCAGTTCTATTTCTGTGCCTATGTCTGTACTGTTACTGCTTCTCTACGCTTACAGTGTACTCCTTGTGAACCCATGTCACATTCATCTTTGGATTCCTGGTGCCTAATACGGTGCTTAATAGATAGATGCTGCTAAACTGAAATGTCATTTAAGTAGATTTTTGAGCAGCTTAATCGAGATACAATTCATATACCATACAATTCACCCGCTTATAGTGTTCAAGTCAATGGATTTGAGTAGATTCACAGGTATGTGCAACCATGACCACGGCCAATTTTAGAACATTTCATCATCCCCTTTCCCTCCACCTCCCCACCCCCACTCCTAAACCGCCACTGATCTACCTTCTGTCTATATTTCCAGTTCTAGGTATTTCATATAAATGGAATCATATAACATATAGTCTTTTGTCTGGCTCTTTTTACTTCATGAAATGTGTTTGAGCTTCATCCATGTTGTGGCATGTGTGTACACACTTCATTCCTGTGGATGGCCAAATATTATTCCATTGTCTGCATGTGCCACATTGTTTATTATTCACTGCTGATGGACAGTTGGGTTTTTCCACCTTTTGGCTATTAAGAATACTGCTGCTGTACACATTTGTGTAAAAGTTTTTGTTTGATCATCTGTTTCCCATTCTCCTGGGTATGTAAACAGGAGTGGAATTACTGGGTCAGATGGAGCTGCCTAATTGTTGTTCACAGTGGATGCGCCATTTTACAGTCCCACCAACAATCTATGAGGGCTACCATTTCTCTGTGTCTGCACCAACACCTATCTTTTTCCAGTTTTTTAAAAAAAATCGTAGCCATCCTAGTGGGTGTAAAGTGCTGTTCCATTGTGGTATTGATCTGCATTTTCCCTACTGACTCATGATATTTAGCAACTTTCATGTGCATTGTTGGCCATTTGTATATCTTTAAGGAAATGTCTGTTCAAGTCCTATGTCCACTTTCAGGTTGGTTTGCTTTTTATTTCCATACTAGAGGCCCAGTGCACAAAATTTGTGCAGCGGAGGGGGGAGGAGGGGGACCTGAGCCCAGCCTGCACCCTCTCCAATTGTGGATCCCTTGGGGGATGTCTGACTGCCTGTTTAGGCCCGATCCTGGGAATCGAGCCTAAACCGTCAGTCGGACATCCCCCTCACAATCCTGGACCGCTGGCTCCTAACCACTCACCTGCCTGCCTGCCTGATTGCCTCTCACTGCCTCTACATGCCAGCCTGATCGCCCCTAACTGCCTCCCGCTGCTGGCCAGTTCACTCCCAACTGCCCCCTCTCTGCCGGCCTGGTCACTCCTAACTGCCCCACCCCCGCTGGCCTGGTCACCCCTTACTGACAACCCCCCTTCCAGCCTGGTTGTAGGCAGCCATCTTGTGAGGGTGTGCTGGTCAATTTGCATATTACCTCTTTATTATATAGGATTGACTTGTAAGCATTTTTTTAATATTCTGAATACTAGTTCCTTATCAGGTGTATGCTTGACAAATGTTTTCTCCCATTCCATGAGTTGTCTTTCCTCTTTCTGAATAGTGCTCTTTTCTTCCTCAATTCACATCACATTTACTAAACATTTATTCTGTGCTGGGCACAGGGGATCTGAGATGTATGTGCCCTCCGGGGGTTCACAGCTTTAGAAAGAAGATAGACATACAAATAGTACAATAAATACTTGATTAACATGCCCTTTTTGCTATCCCCACTCCTGCTGTCCTGGCTCATGAACCATTTTGACAGTGCCTGTGATGCGCAACAGTTTTTAACTTTGATGGAATCCAATATTTTTACTCTGTTGCCTTGTGCTGTTGGTGTCTTATCTCAGAAATCATTTCCAAATTCAAAGTTATGAAGATTTACCCCTGTGTTTTCCTCTAACAGTTACTTCTAAAATTTTTGCTTTTATATTTAGGTCTTTGAGCCACATTGAATTAATTATTGTAAATAGTATGAGGTAAGGGTCCAACTTTTTCCTTTTACATGTGGCTGTCCAGTTATTCCAGCACCATTTTAAAAATATATTTTTATTAATTTCAGAGAGGAAAGGAGAGGGAGAGAGAGACAGAAACATCAATGATGCGAAGTAACCACTGATCAACTGCCTCCTGCACACACCCCACCAGGGATGGAGTCCACAACCCAGGCATGTGCTCTGACTGGGAATCGAACTGAGACCTCCTGGTCCACGCTCCACCACTGAGCCACAACGGCTGGGCTCCAGCACCACTTTTTGAAAAGACTCTTCTTTCCCCCATTGAATGGTCTTTGTACCCTTGTCCAAATCAACTGATCGTAGATATCTGAGTTTATTACTGGACTCTCAGCTCTATTCCTCGATCTATACATTTGTCCTTGTGCTAGCACCACGGTCTTGATAACCATTGCTTTGTATCACCTTTTGAGACTGGGAAGTGTGAGTTCTTCCATTTTGTTATTCTATCTCAGAATTGCCTTGATTATTCTGGGTCCCTTACAATTCCATGTGAATTTAGAGTCAGTTGGTCAATTTCTCATCTTAACAATATTAAGTCTTTCAAAAAACAAAACAAAACAATATTGTCACCTGGCCCATGTGGCTCAGTGGTTGAGTGTCTACCAATGAAGCAGGAGTTCACTGACCGATTCCTGCTTAGGGCACATGCCCAGGTTTCCGGCTTGGTCTGCAGTGGGGGTCGGGGGGACGTGCAGGAGGCAACCAATCAATGATTCTCTCTCATCATTGATGTTTCTATATCTTTCTCCTCTCTTCTGCTCTGAAATTAAAATCAATCAATCAATCAATCAATCAATAAATTTTATATATATATATTTTTCAATATTGTCTTCCAGTCCAGGAACATGATATGTTTTTCCATTTATTTAGATATTCTTTAATAATCTTTCAACAATGTTTTATAATTTTCTGAGTATAAATTTTGCATCTCATTTAATAAATTTATTTCTAAGTATTTTATTCTTTTTGATGCTATCGTAAATGTAAGTATTTTCTTAATTTCCTTTTTGAATTGTGTTTTGAAAATGTTTAAAAATAGTTAGTTTTTATATATTGATCTTATACACTGAGTGGCCAGATTATTATGACCACCTGACATTTGTAGGCAAATTAGCCGTACACTGCATCGTAGGGGATATGGAAGCCGAGGCCTGTTCGAACACCTTTGCTGTCTGCAGTTACCAAGATAAAACGTCTCCAATTCTCACAGGAACACGAGGATTGGACAGTTGAGCATTGGAAAAAACGCATGTGG